TTGTTCCCAAATCCCCCAGACTCACTGGATATTGTCCCCAAATCCCCCAAAATCCCTGGATGTTGTCCCCAAATCCCCCAGACTCACTTGATGTTGTCCCTAAATCCCCCAGACTCCCCTGATATTGTCCCCAAATCCCCCAGACTCCCTCAATGTTGTCCCCAAATCCCCCAGACTCACTTGATGTTGTCGTCCTGGTCAGCAAACTCCTCGTCATTGAAGCCAAACTGATCCACGAAATTTGCCGTCATCTGCTGGATCTGGTACTCGGAGAAGGCCTGGGAAGGGATCCCAAAAATCCATCATTAGGTTGTCCAGAGATATTCAGAGGAGTTGCATGGAAACACCTCCTCCAGGAAAGCATTAAAATCACAGGAGAGTCTGGGAAATCCTCAGCTCTGAGCCTTCCCAAAGCAGGGTCACACAGAGCTCAGGGATTGCTGCTCCAATTCCTCCCAGTGCTGGATCCCAGACCATGGGACTGCTCTGGGAAAGCCCAGGAGAGCTGAACAGAGCTCAGGAAGCTGCTCCAGCCCAGGATGGGTCAGAGGAAATCAGAGCAGCCATTTTCCCAGGAATAGTGAAGATGTTCCCAACTCACCTGCTGCAGAGTGAGTTCATTGGGAAAAGCACTTTCAATGTCCTCATCCTCGCTGGAGGAGTGCAGGTGGTGGGTGCTCACCTGGGAAGGCACAAAGCAGTCAGGGATCAAGGGAAAGCTGGAGAAACTCCAGAGTTTCAGTTCCACCAAATCCCAAACTCCCAGCAGGAACTGCCCCAAGGAATCCCAAGGACAAATTCAGCACCACGGATCAGCCCTACTGAAGGACTATCATGGAATATGTTTATTGAAATGTTTTCTACTCTGCCTTGGAAGTCTTCTTAGCAGAACAAGGAGAATGAGAAATCCCCAGGAATATTTCTTTTTCCATCAAGGGAAGCCCAGGAGCCCCCAGAGTGAGGAGCTCACCAAATCCACCGTGTTCCTCCGGTTTGTCTCCGTCAGCGTCTCCTCCACGAAACTCTCCCACCTCCCTCGGCAGTCCTCGGGCAGCTCTGCAATGAGAGGGTCACACAGACCTTGGCATTTGGGGGTCCTGAGAAATGTGAGCTCCTCCTGGGCTAAGGACACCCAGCTCCTCTGCATCTCACTGGGAACAACCCCAAACAGGGCTGGAGCTGAGCTTTGTTCTTCCCTTTTCTCCTGAGGGGCCCTTTCCAGCCATCCCTCCCATCCCTGCCCAGCACCAGGGGACACTGAGGAGCCCAAAAGGGGAAAGACTCAAAGGAAACTTAATAAATGGAGAAAAAAGAAAAACACTGTGCCACCAGATTGTCCCTGCCCAGCTGTGCCCCCTTCCAGCCCAGCATGGGCTGAACAGTGGGAATGGAAAATGTGGAAAATGGAAAACCTTCCTTCCCCCCACCCAAACCCATGAGACAAAACCAGTTCTCCAAGTGCAGGATGGACACGGCCTGGCTGTGGGAATATCTCTGCTGGGCAGATCTGGAGCCTCTGGGGGCGTTTATCCTCGTCAGGGATTCATGGAATGGGTTGGGTGGGAAATCCCAGGAGGAGGAGGAGGAGGAGCAGGAGGTACCTTTGATGAAATCGCTGATCTGGGCCTGCATGGGCCCCTTCTCCATGTTGTGCACCACGGCGTTGGCGATGCGTGTCAGGTGTCCCATGTTCCCTCTCCTCCTGCCACCCTCTGCCCTGGAACGGAGAGCAGCCGCTACCACGGAGCCGGGACAGAGCCACGGGAATGGGCACGGAATTCTGGCCCAAATGAGCACGGCACTGCAGCTCCAATGGCCACGGAATTCCTGCCCCAATGAGCACGGCTCTGCAGCTCCAATGGGCACGGAATTCTGGCCCAAATGGGCACGGCTCTGCAGCTCCAATGGGCATGGAATTCCTGCCCCAATGAGCACGGCACTGCAGCTCCAATGGCCACGCAATTCCAGTCCCAATGGCCACGCAATTCCAGTCCCAATGGCCACGCAATTCCAGTCCCAATGGCCACACAATTCCTGCCCCAATGGCCAAACAATTCCTGCCCCAATGGCCATGCAATTCCTGCCCCAATGGGCACAACACTCCTGCCCCAATGGCCACACAATTCCTGCCCCAATGGCCATGGCACTACTGCCCCAATGACCATGGCATTCCAGCCCCAATGGCCAAACAATTCCTGTCCCAATGGCCACACAATTCCTACCCCAATGGCCACACAATTCCCAGCCCCACGTGGACATGGTACTGCTGCCCCAGTGACCATGGCATTCCAGCCCCAATGGCCAAACAATTCCTGCCCCAATGGCCACGCAATTCCTGCCCCAATGGCCATGGCACTCCAGCCCAAATGGCCACGCAATTCCTGCCCCAAAGGCCACACAATTCCTGCCCCAATGGCCACACAATTCCTGCCCCAAAGGCCACACAATTCCTGCCCCAATGGCCACGCAATTCCTGCCCCAATGGCCACACAATTCCTGGCCCAATGGCCAAACAATTCCTGCCCCAATGGCCACACAATTCCTGGCCCAATGGCCAAACAATTCCTGCCCCAATGGCCACACAATTCCTGCCCCAATGGCCACAGAATTCCTGCCCCAATGGTCACGCAATTCCTGCCCCAATGGTCACGCAATTCCTGCCCCAATGGTCACGCAATTCCTGCCCCAATGGCCACACAATTCCTGCCCAAATGGCCACAGATCCCAGCCCCAATGGCCACAGATCCCAGCCCCACAAACCCCTCTGCTCCTCCCAGCAAGGCTCAGCCCTGCTCAGGCAGGATGGGATGAGCTCAGCCCAGCACAGGAACTTCCCCTCATTTTGTGGTGGTTTGGGACCCCTCATCCCACTCAGGGAACATGGGAAGAGCTCCAAACAAGGAGCTRAACATGGAGAAGCAGCTGCAGGGATAAATAATCTGAAGGGAAGAAAACTCCCAGAGTTAAGGATCTACAGCACTGCTGCTGACAGAGCTCCAGGGTGGGGCTGGCATTGCAGCAGTGAATCCAGAACAAAAGACATTCTCATCCTGCCATGGGATAAAACCAAATCCCCCTTGGATAAAACCAAATCCCAGCTCGGAGCCTTTCTCTGGCTCCTCACTGCTTTCCTTCCTGGAGAGTGAAGCAGAGAGCTAAAAACCAGATCAGGGAATCCTGGAATGGTTGGGTGGGAGGGACCTCAGAGCACACCCAGTGCCACCCAGTGCCACCCAGTGCCACCCAGAGCCACCCAGTGCCACCCAGTGCCACCCGTGCCATGGCAGGGACACCTCCCACTGTCCCAGGCTGCTCCCAGCCCCAATGTCCAGCCTGGCCTTCCTTGGGCACTCAAAGGGATCCAGCCAAGGACCTTCCTGGAAACTCAACCAATCTGAGATTCCTCTGTTTTAATCCCTGCTTTTTCCTTGCCATTCACATTTTTTCCAGTGTGGGGGTGACTGGAAATCTGTGGCAGGAAAGAGGGATGAGCTCTGGCTCCTTTCTGGTTTAATCAGGAAAACTCCCAAGCAGCACTCAGGGATATTTTTGGTCCTACAGAACTGGGCAAGGAAATTCCCAGTAAATTCCTTATGCACACAAGGGGGTGTAAAAAGGACCAAAAACCCCCAAAAACCAAACCAAACCAACAAAAAAAAATGTAATCCAAACCCCAAGCCACCAATTATGGCCTAAACAATTCCAGTGGGGCTCCAAAGCCCTTGGAAGCCACCAGGAGCTCAAAATAGAAAGGGAGGACCAAACATTGAGCTGGATGTGGAAACTGAGGCCTCCAGAATATTTTCACTTTCAAGTTTTAGGTTTTCAAAAATATTTTGTCTTATCAGCCCAATCAGCACAAAATCCAAGAGGTTTATGAAGCTAAAATATGAAATCCAAGGCACAAATGCTTGGCCAGCCCAGTTTCCAACAGTTTTCCACTCCAGGGAGAATAAAATTGTGCATTTAAAACAAAAAAACCCAAAAA